TGGTTGAGTTTCCAAGTATTTTTTTATAAGTAGCTCTCCTAGCCCAGCATGAATGTAACTGACATGGTAGTGATAACAGGAACACTGTTTAGCATATAGGAAGCCTTGAGCTAGGTAAAGTTATTTGGGGAATTTAACCAAGAACTATACTTTGCCAATATGGGAGCGATTCTTGGTGAGCATTGTTAAAACTGTCCATGTAATGGTGTTGGTGTTTTAGCTTGGTAACTTAGCAAAAGAACTCTCAAAGTTCTTGCTTTCCTTTCTTTTCCCACATTCCTTTCTTGTCCTTTAAGCTCGGAGTACTCTCCCTGGTCAAATAATTGACGTTTCAAACCTTGATTTGGTTTTAAGACATTTGGTACAAGAAACAAACAAAAAGATTTGAGGTTTGAGTGATGTAGGGTTAAACAAATAATCTGCTGCTAGAAACAAAGAAAAAAGGGGACTTCAGTTGGGTCACACCTAGAACCCTTTCAAATGACATGGCTCACCATTAGAATTTGAATATTGAAAACTGATAACTGCTGCATCACACGTTAGAAAATATTGGTGTATTCACCAGTAATTGTCAACTTCTATTTTTTCATGCACCTGCAGAAAATAATATGTACAACAATGTTCAATAGGCTTTCATCTTTGTTGAGTATTTGAAGTCATTCCTTAATTCATATTTGCTGTCTACAGTTGTATGTAAATGTGACGTGTGTTGATTATTAAGTTTACGCATTAAGCACGAACTAGAGTCCTCAAAAACAAATGTACCCTTCTGCTGAAATTCTTCTGTCCCTGATCTCCCAGTTCTTAACTGATGCAAGAGCTTAACATATATTACAAGAAACAAATGGAAATTCACATATGGTACTCAAAGTTGCAGAAAATGGCCTTTCCATATTTTCAACAAGCTAGTACTAGGATCTTGAAGATTTAAGCCTAAAGATTACATGCTGGTGAGGAGGTAGGCTTAGGCAAAAAAATGGCCATGTCAATAAAATCAACATTTTGGGCTAGAATGGACTTCAATCCACATGTTGGTAGCTTTGTAAAAAAATCTGTCTCCTTGGATATTAAGTTGTAGCTAGCAAGTATAAAAATTTGCTCGGAGGTGTAGAGTTTCATGTTTTGTCATTTTACTTGTTGGTTTTGTACTCGAGATGCTTAATTTTCTATCGCAGGCTTTTAATATTTGAAAAGTACTTCACTTGTCAATGTTTTCTTGTCTTTTACTTGTAAGTTTCATCTATATATACATGTCTCAACCCGAGAATGGCATAAAGAATTGTTGAGTTAATGAAAATCAAGTTAAGCTTGACACCTTGTTTTTAGTGCTGTATCTCTTTGGTGGATTCCACTGAGACGTGAGCTATCTTAAACTCTAATCTCCAAGGTGGTGACTTTTCTCTATCTTTAAATTTTGGGAGTTCAAGTCCTTGTTCGTTCCGTTAAGAGTGGTGATTTTCTATGAAGTTGTGATTTTCGTATCCCTAAAGGGTCGAACATACAAATATCCAGAATTCCCAATGAAATTCCAATCTCCTTTCTGGTATCATTAACTATGATCAAGTAGGACATGATCATAGTAATTGGTGTGCTCACAACTTCCTTAAAAGTTACACAGCAGCAGGACCCAGGTTAAACTCCATAACTGAATGTAAAAAGGCCAAGTTGTCTACATGCCAAGCTCAACCTCTACATCCTTGGCTTGTCATGATTATCAGTTGAGCATGAGCTTTGCTAAAATTAGACTAGTCAAGCTGGATCACATCAAAGCCCTATTCATTTCCAAACCCACACAAAATTGACACTGACAGTCAAGGAGCACTATGCATCAATTTGTCCTAAGATAATATTCAATCTGTATAGAATTGCTAGGCTGAAACTTCTGAACTAAGTTCTCTGTCGGTGCACTAGCATATGAAAGTTGCAGTTCTTTCTGTCATTGGAGTTTGGAAGCATGTGCTGAACCATTGAATCACATATGTTTACTTCTATGATTTTTGCTAGAGGCCTGAATTGCAACAAAACAGTACATGATTACCGAATTCCCTCCATTGAGCGTACATGATACTGAATCACTTGTGCAGGTCATGAAGAATCAGGAGGCAGTTGATTTAGTGAAACCAATTAAAGATCCAAAAGCAGCAGCTAAGCGCTTGACATCTGAGGCACTGGCCAGAAAGAGTAAAGATGATATATCATGTATTGTGATCCGCTTTGGATGATGCCAGTGAGAAAGCACATCTGCAGCACCAAGCCCCGCTTTCTTTGTTCTCGGTATCCCTTTAAAATGGTCAGCTGATGGGGTCTGTCCGTTTGAAGCCTATGTGTTGTAGTAGTTTTGCTTTCAAAGATAATCATGTTAAAGAATGGAAGTTGAGGTGGAAGTGTGATGCATTTTTTGTTTGAACCATGAAAGAGATTTACCTCGTTAATCCATGAACCACCTCCCTATACAGGGGCTGGGAGTAGTCTGTAGAGATTATTGAGCCATTAATGGGGTTAGTTATTTCGCTGGACAGACGATAGATAGAAAACAATAGTTTAATTCTGTGTATAGAGGTTGTGGACATAAATAAATAGAGATGGACTCGATTTTCATATAATGTATGTGTCATACTGGTTGTGGCTGCCAAGGTGCGCTAATGAAAGTGTAGGTTTTTCATCGCAGCTCCAGTTTATTTTGGATTGCTGTAGTGGAGCAAGCTCCAGTTTATTTTGGATTGCTGTAGTGTGATTATATTTTTTGCTCGAGTTGAAAAAATATAAGCTTTGGTTGTGGGGTGATTTTGTCTTTTTAAGAGGTTCACTAATTATTAAAAGATTGTTCAGGCATGTTAGTAATTTTAAAAAATTTTGCATGGTAAAATAATAAATTTATAATTATTGATCAAGAGGATATTTCATCTTTCAAAAACTTTAAAATAGTAAAAATATTTATTTACCTCTCAAGTTAAAAAATAAAAAATTAAGTTGTTGACCAATTATTTTTTAGATTTTTCATATTAATAAAATAAAAATAGTTTTTACCCTTGAAAAAAACAAGATATACTTCTAGGAGCGTTTGTGTTCTTTCACATTGTTTTTTTTTTTTTTAATTATCATGCTTATGGAGCTATTGTAGTATTTTTAACTTAGAAGAATATTTTTTATTAAAAAAATTATTGGTATATTTTCATTACACATCACTTCAGCTTGTAGGTGATGCTTACAACGCCTTTCAATAGCCAAATCCATCCTTTTTGCTTTATCTTAGAAGCATTATTGTGTTTTTTTTTTTTATTAAGATGTTGCACATGGTGGCAGATGATAAATGATTTATTATTGATGGTTATTTTTTTTTCCTTTTTCAGATAAAGTATATTTTTATTCTTTTTTATTTAAATTTTTTAATTTTAGTTTTTATATTTTTTATTGGTTATTTTCAACCTTAACTCTTTTATAAAAGTTTTTTGTGTTTTTAATTTTGTTCTTAAATTATAATTTTTTTATATATTATTTTTTTTACTCGGTCCTTATTTTTTTTATTTTTCAATTTTTTTTACTCGGTCCTTATTTTTTTTTTAATTTTTTTCTTAGCTATTTTGTTAAAGTTTTATTAATTTTTAATTTCATTATTCAATTAAAATTTAGTTTTTATTTTCTTTCAATTTAGCCTTTATTCTTTTGATTTCATTTTTCTTTTGTTAATTCTTTTCTTTTCAATTTAATCCTTCAATTTAAATTTTTATTTTGATTTTTTTCTCTTATTCTTTTAATTATATTTTTTTGCGTGATTGATTTTTTTCTAGTTTTATCCTTTAACGTTTGATTTGTTGGGATTAGGCTTTGCAGTTTCTCCATTTATGATGCTTCCGATTTAATGATTGGTGAAGAGTTTGAGAAGTTAACATGGTTCGGTAGCCCTTTTTTTCATTTTCTTTTACAATTTTATTATTCTATATTATTCTATATTTTTTTAAAAGATTGATTTGTGGTTACTTTTAATTTCTTTTTTATTAGTTTATTTTGATCTAAAGTTTTTTTAATAGAAACTTTTTTATAATTTTTTTCTGTATTTAATATTTGAAGAATTTTACAAGGGCTTTAATTTATAAAAAAATATTTCCAATATGTTTTACTTTGCATCAAGATCTCCGAGCAACTTCAACATTGTGCATGAACAGCCGAATTACACACTCTTTTGGTAGAAGAAAGAGAACAATCACTCCAAGTTCTAAAAGAACTAAGTGAAGATCACCGAGGTTAAAACATCTCTTCTTCTTCATAGCCGAAATCACAACACGAGAATCACCTAGTATCTCCCATCAGAAGAGAAATGTCATACAAGCCTGACAGGACTCGTTCCTGCATCTAACATCCCAGTCAATCAGATCATGCACTCAGCGTAGAGTTCTAGGAAGAGGACGTGATGATATTGGCCTGAAAAAAGGTTTACAGAGAAAGCAAGGATCATCCATACAATCAACTAAACATCCAGGGGCAATATTGCACCGTCTTAAATCTTCATTCAGAGCTTCTCTACCCATTAATACACTTCACCATCCTAATGAAGGATCGGTTGCTGTGGTAGCTTTTAAGCAAACAGCTGGAAGGAAAATATTTGCCTTGAACAGATAACTATAACCTCCATCTCTGTTTTGCTAGCATTGCCAAGTTAAACGCCTCAAGATCTTTAAAACCCATACCAACCTGATCTTTGTGCTCGTAAAACGAACGCCAGCTTAACCAGTGTGTTTTCCTTCGGGGACACCTTTAACCACAGGTTCTCAACTCTCAAGCACGCCCTTTTCTGGCAATGGATTTATACATGTGTATCATGGACTTGTCCAAATAAGCACAAAAAGTATAACCACTCTTCGGGACATTTCCACACAATATATGAAGACCAATGATGAATAGAAATTGTTCCTGATCATCCCTCGATGAGAAGAAAAAAAAGAGAGAGAAGCCATCTAAGCTGCAGGATGCACATGCTGCAGTTGCATTGTTGACCAAGACAGTTGGCAACAGAAAAACAATTTTTTTATGATTGAAGCAAGAAAGCAAATACAGGTCTTCACGTGACCCATGCACTCAATTTCAGCAATATACAATCAACGGAGTAACCAAGCAAGTGTGGACAACATTCTAGACCAATAAAAAAACAAGACTCTCCGAAAATTTCAAGGCTATACAAGGTGTCACAGTTAACCATCTATTCTCTTTTCGGTGGATAAAACAATAATAGAGTATCAAACATGATTAAGAACTTTCCTGCAGCCTGTATATCGTAATTTCCTGCTGCTTAAAGTAGCGACGATCCTCTTCATCAACCAGAACAAGATTCAAATAATACTTAACACTGAACTTGTTGTTAATGTTGCGATGAGTTGGTGTCAGTTCATAAGGGCTAAGAAACAATCTGATGGGAATCGATTCACCTGAAACAATATCCAAATGCTTGTATGTCATTGCCATGGAGAATAACAAAAAAAGAGGATATTTCCTGACTCAAGTATAAGAAAGAGATCAAAACATACATAAATTTGAAAATAAATAAATAAATAAATAAAAGATTCATTTAAAACTCAGGTCAGCGTTTACTTGTGAAGTAGAAACACTGGTCAAAAGACTTTTCAACTCATCACAAAGATAATTTGTAAGTGGAGTATGGTAGTTCGTGCTGCGTTTCATCATATACCGCCTCAGTGGTTATTTTGGTTAGATTACAAGAAATTTCAATAATGATGGTGAACATACCTCTGACAGGAGCACCATCCATCAACTCAAATTTAGCTAGTGTCTCCGTCTCCACATGTGTATTGGCCCCTGATCCTGTTGATTCTCGACGCCTGATCTCAAGATCCATATTTTTTATCTTGATTCTTACTAAAAGAAAATATATCTTTCCAATAATCACATCTTTTAGATGATACCTGCATAGTTTAATTTCAAATGAGTCAATAGGGAGATCCTTCAAAGTCACATAGCAGAAATTTCAATCAGTTCTACAACTAAATAATTTAGCTCCCAAGTGTGCTGCTAAACAAACTGTTTGAACCACCCAGTTTAGACACATCAAAGTGCAATGACCGGAAAGGCACCTTGGTTGATTAGAAGCCACAGCTGAACATAGCCAACAACCACAAGAACAAGAATTTTCAAATTACAGATCTGATTGTCCTTCCACACTTGGATTACTAAGGCCCAAAGAAGAGCATAACAAGCATAATGAGATTGAAAAAAGCCTATTCACAGAATCTATATTGTCTTACTTGCTTTTGTTGTATTCAAATTCAATGTGCAGGCAATCTTCAATGCCAACTTCCATCTGCAAAAGTTGTTAGGAGTTAGTAAGAATATAAAGAGTTAGACTAGTCAAAAAATGGACATCCAGGGCACAAAACTATCTGGTTATTGTAAACTGTGACTATTGCAAGGTTGCTATTCATCACTTTGTACATTAAGGAGTTGTCTACTTGAAACTACCAGAGGCATCACAATGAGTTGAGACATGGACAGTGAAGCTCAGGTTTCAGGTACAGATAGTAGAATTTTGCACTTACCTTGATGCAGTTGTTGATTGTTGGAGGAGGGGAATAGTTGCGAACCTGGTACATAAAAATGAAATACAAGACAAGCACAAAAGGTGTTAATAAAAAAGGCATGTGAATAGTATGCACTGAATTAAACATGATGCAGCTATTATAAAACCGTTCAGGCTAAATATGTGAGGTCAATGTCTAATTTGCCATAATAATGACACTCTAAGCTCCCAAAAATGCACTCTGCTATACAGATAAAACAAGTTCATAAACCAACAAGAAAAGGCAACTTGATTTGTCCCATTTGCAAAATACAAGACAATAGTCTAAGAGATATACTGATAAACATCAAACTGTGTGGGCGCGCGCGCACTTGCCCACACATGAGAGAGGCAATAAGTTTTTCAAAAATTACCACAAGGTCCTGGTATTCAATTATGCTTCCTGCATAACCACGAGTGACAGTCACTTTCAAAACATACCTGTAGAAGGCAAATGAGCAAATCATTAAGAAATCAATTAACTATTATAATATCATTCATCTATTTCATTTCACAAAATTTAGTTATTTTAGATCTCCATCCTGAGTACCAAGCAACTAATTATTCCTAATCTTATATTATTCCACCACTCCTTTTGTACTTCACTCTTATCTCTATTCTCTCCATGCTATTGAGTGTATTGATGCTAAAAATTAAAGTGGTAATTGTGAAAAAAAACACATCTCCAATAATTTGTATATTAAGACTATCGATGTACATTAGGATGAACTAGTGCAACAGCTATTTTACTCCACAGGCTGAACTTCAAAGATGACAAATTAAAGGTAAAGAAACATGAAATGCCAACAGTTTGATAGAGATATATTTATGATCAAGAAATGATACGAGATTGTGATATTATTCTTAATTGGTTTTTGCTTCAATTGTAGAAATAAGTAATCAACTGCAGCCTTGTATTTTTAAATTACTCAATAACCAAATTAAAGTCATGCCATGCCTTGACATGTAAAACAATGCATGGAGCTACCATGTTTACCATTGCTTCCATGTTTTAGTAGCAGATGAGGACTAGTGCAATTGGATTATGAAAACTTACAAAGAGAGAATCTAAAACCATTCTCAAAACTGCTTATACTGAATTTGAAATAATTTGCAGAGGAAAACTAACAGCACAATGTCCACAAAACACCTTGAAATAATCAACAGAAAGGATAAGGAAAAAAATATTTAACTTGCAAATTTTAAGACTAAATAAGTGGTATACCTGAGCCTCACATTCACCCCATTATACGTTTCATATGGCATTTCAACTGTGGAAAACTCAAATGGATACGTCTTTCTTTCATATATTTCTCCAGGAACATCTAATTCACGTACTGCAAAGCAAGAGAAGGTGGAATCACGTCTGAAATCCAATCAATTATTGTTTGGGTACAAATATGGCTATTTCCAAGGTTGTGAGCAGAGTGCAATTGAGGGGGCAGTTATATATCGTTGATAATTCTATAGCAGATAAAAGTACGCAACGATACATAAAACATGAAATTTATAAAGAAAGATAAAGTAGCATGCATGGTACACACTATTTTTCAATTCTATACAAAACAAGGAGTAAATAAATAATAAAAATTTGAGGGCTTAGTAGGGCACCCATTTCTCCAAATAGCACAGCATGTGTTTGAGACACTGAACCATTATAAGTTCAACCTTTTTATCAGAAGTTAAATTGTAAACCCAGGCCATTGGTTATTGTGCTTCCTCTTCAATGACCAGCTTCATCATTGGCAAAACAATTCACCAAGGATTTTACTAGGAAGGACTTGGGAGGTAACCCCAACCAAATTAAAGGGTTCACTGGTTTTCAAGTCAGGTCAGCTGATCCAATCTGGTTTTCAATATCATTGCAATGAAAAAAATAGACTTCCACATGCTTAACAGGAACCGTGTAAAGAAAACACTAAAATTAAGGCAATAAAAATCATTTATAGAATACTCACCAAGCGACGTGAAGTCATAAAAATTGCCTCTATCAAAATACATCTCTGCAAAGTAGAACAAAAGGTTCCTTAAATCTTTGGAAAACAATTCAAGGACAAAATAATGCATGCATGCATGCCGGAGAGCTGACACGGATTAAAATGCAAATAGTACAAAACAATCCAATTTCAACCAAGTAGAAAACAGAGCAGTTCAAAATCACTGTAGGATAGCTAGCAAAGCTCATAAAGTTCATTAATGTTTATTTTAAAAAGAAACAAAGAAGTAGTTATAAATTATTATTATTATTATTTTGGTACAACTAGCATTAGAAGCTTTTTATATTTTTTTAATTAACGAAGAATATTCAGAGAGAGCCAATCCAACAACAGGTTTAAAATTACTTGTCTGGTTTTGTATCATGCCTGAACCATTAACAAAAACAATCCTGAGAAGAGAACCAGAATATTTAACAATATTTTTATTTGAAAATTAACAAAAGGCAATATTTGAAGTTTGGACTCGACTGCCAATCATGGATGAATGAATAACAGCAAAGGGTAAGTTTGATGGGAGGCGGGGTTACAAAGAGAAACCATTTTGTTTCAAGAAATGAAAGAAGCAACTCAACGCACAGCAGTTGCAAATGGCAAGAAATGCAATGAAAAAACTTGACTAACCAATTTGGCCAAGAAGTTCAACTTTAACACCATTGTGGTCAACTTTCTTCCCTTGGAGAGGCTCTATAGAAATCTGAAGGGAAAAAAAAAATTATTAATGAAGAAGCCAAGATGAATCAAGCAAGATATACAGCATTAATACAGAGCACCTGTCCAGCAATGTTTTCTTGACTGTGGAAGAGGGGAACCATAACTGTTTGACCATTCTCCTTTTTCACCGGAACCTACCAATCAGCCCAATGTGATTTGATTTGATGAGTCCACAATCACAAACAATGATGGATGGATGGGATCCAGTTGATTAAAATTGAAATTAAAAAAAACACCTGCTTGCGATTTTTTGCATCGGAAAAAGTGGTGGAGATATTACACGAAGGCTTGAAAGCTCCAATTAGGTAATTCTGATCACCCATTCAATTTGATTAGTAAACTCTCAAATTTTATCACCAAACACACCAAAAAAAAAAAAAGGAATAATAATAATAATTAATGAAGAGACAAAGATACCATTCTGTATAATTGAATTGAATTTAGCTCAAATCGTCAAGTATCTGCAAAACCGAGCCGATCAAAAAAGTAATAAGCAAAAATGAAGCTGTGATTATGCAGTCAAACAAAAAGAAAGCGAGGGCTTCCAGGTAATGAAATGAAATGAAACCCTAACGCGAAAGCTAACTCACCCACAGAAAGAGGGAGTCAGTTATGAGCAAAGATCTTAAATAAATAAATAGGGACTTTGGATTCTACTTTCTACACAAACAAACATTTGAAAGGTTAGTTTCCTTCCTGTCTTCTTCTTCTTTTTCCCAGTTAATATTATTATTATTATTATTATTATTAAGCATTAAATGAAAAATAACATGACGTGCTTGTTGATACTTGAGATGGTAATGGAGTCAATACGTAGAAATGGACTGCAGAGCTATTTATCCTCAAATGAAATTAGCGGCTAATAATGGGTTGAATAACTAGTTATCTTAAAACCAAATTAGTGTCCGCTAATGAAATGAAGAACTAGAATCTTATAATTATATAGTTATAGTAAAGATTTAGGATTAAAGAATTTGTTTTTTTTATGGTTTTAAATTTGAGTCTTTAATTGCTTAGTTGCTTATACGATGGTATTTGAATTCTTGATTACTTATATGATGGTCACTAAAGGCTTATATGATTGTTAACTTCAAGATCTGTGAAATTAATCGTGATGCACGTAAATTGCCCCGAACACCCATATTAATCTAAAAAAAACTAGAATCTTATAATGCAACAAGTGCTCGATAATGGGCTAGAAAGCTAGTCCGATAATGGGCTAGAAAAATAGTCTACTGCTCGAAACTGAGTTGATTAAACCAGTGAGCTAAATTAGTTGGCTAAAAAAATGGTCTGGTTGACTGCTATTACCACAAAAAAAATTGCTACGTCTTTAACATTATCGAAGAAGGAAATTGTCTATCAATCTGCAAGGAAAGTTGGGGTTATTACACCTGCAATGTTCTTTTTTTATTTTTTTATTTTCTATTTTTTTTAATCATTTTAGTTTTTTTTTTTTAACTCTAACCCTTTTGTATTGAGTTCATTTAAAATTGAATTTTATGGTTTATTTTTATTGGTTTTATCATGATGTCAATTATAAATTCTAACATTCAATTTTATTAATTTATAATAATAGAAACTTTAAGGATCGGATTTAAAACTAGGATAAATATTCAACCTCTTTTTTTCATTGAACATGGACCATGTTTTTCTTTTATTTTGATCCATGTTTCTTAAGGTTTTCATGTTTTTTTTAGTCATTGTTTTAGCATTTTCACTCTCTAAATTTAAAAAGAATAAGGAGGGTCGCAGGGAAAAAGGGAAGGAGAGAGGAGGCTAGTTTGTTACCCGCTATCAGGCACCAAGAAAACTATTTTCTTTCATCGTAGGGTTTCATTTAGCAAAAAAAGTTGCTTTGTAGGGTTTTTAACCGTCCATTTTGATATACCAAAAGTTATTTTCTTTGCTTCTGTATTTTAAAAATAATTTTTTATTTATTTTAAATTAATATATTTTTAATATTTTAAAATTATGTTGATATGCTAATTTTAAAAATAATTTTTTTAAAAATAAAAAAATTATTGAAATACATTTTAATACAAAAAATAATTTAAAAAATAATCATAACTATAAATTAATATTTTGAAATGTTTTTTTAATTTAGTTAATGTGTTTTTTTTAAGATTGAGAGCTAATTTGAGCTTATGAACATTATTAAGGAGTTTAATAAATTTTTAGGTTATTTTTTTATTAAAAAATAAAAACAAGTTTTTTTTAAATCCAATGGATTGGAACCTAACTTTCCCAGCCGCTTGATGTGGTTGATGATCATACTAGGGCAACATGTCAGCTTTCACTACACTCGACATGCCATCCTCTTTTCTTTTCTTTTTAGCAGACAACATGTTTGTAACCTTGTGGGGCCTGGCCTTCTTTTTTATGGTCTATGCCTAAGTGTCATGGCTTTATTTGTAAAAATCTTTGATTTTTTTTCTTTTTTAATTTAAATTCATTAGAATGAAATAACTTAAAATATATTTATGATATTATTTTATTATACATTTTTCATCTTTTTTATGGGATTCATTTTTTTTTATATATAATTTCATTAAACGCTCTTTCTGGACAATCTTTTAATTTTTTTTATTTTTTTATAATATTTCAAAGAAATTAGTATTATAATTTATCTTTCTTTATATATATATATATATATATCTTATGAATGACCTTTATTTGCATGATATATTTATAAAAATAAAAATTATATTTTTATAAGAAAAAATAACCTCAAATGTAAAAAAATATAAATTGAAAAGAAAAATCATGGTTAAATATTTGAATACTTATCTTCATGTTGCTTTTACAGGAAATATTATGGTTTTATTTTAGTATTTAATTACTATTAATAATTTTTTTATTTTATCAATTTATACATTTTAAAACTTATTTCATTAAGCTTGAACAACATCTTTATATTTTTTAATTAAAAAAATACGATGCAAAAAAGCATTTGCAATATTAACATATTTTTCTACTATATGAAAAACTAACTTGAGATTTTACCTTCGATCGTAGCATATTCAACAACTTTTTTTTATCATTTTAATGCATATAATTTTATTTTTTTTATTAAATATGTACATCAATTCTTTGATTCATATTCCTTTTTTTTCCCTTCATGTTAAAAAATGCATTGACAATCGTATGCTGAAAATTCATTTTTTTTTGTTAATTTTTTTTATCTGACCTGTGCCAAAACATGGGTTAGCTAAGTATTTACCCATGTCCGATTGAGTTATATCTCAAATGGTATATAATTTTGTCATCCTTATCCCAACCTCAGGTCCATTGTTGGAGCTTCTCGACCTAACCTTTGAAGATATATGGGATTTTAGGGCAGGTAAGTTTCCATGGTAACAAGGCATGACTAGTTTATTTATTTTTTATTTTTATTTACATAGATGTCTCACTAGCTTGTATTTGCATGAGTCCTGAAATAAATAATTATATAAATCTTTAATAATTTTTAAATTTATAGAACTACTGCTAATGATCTAGAAAGCAAACCTACATCTAGACTACTTCATGTTTTTCTCTTTTTCTCACCGTAGGAAGTGTGAAGCAATTGAAAGACTATAATGTTTTTGTATTTGTGTACCATACATACGAGTTTTATACTAATAGGATTACAATACATTTCCTACTTTACTCAAATAACTTAAACTTTTATATCTATACAATTCCAGTAACTCAGAATCATATCTCCTCGTACCTCCTAAGTTTGCTGCTATAATCTTGACGCTTCATGTGGCTTGTATAGCTGACAATCACTCAAGAAACTTATCTTTCTTAGCTTTAGTTACAAGTACTTGATCCTTTATACCTCACAATCTAGAGGGTAGAGCACGAACACTAAGATAGTTTTGCACTTGTTTGTTTTTTATTGCTGGTAAGGGCTTGGTCTGGCATTTGCCAATTGAACTCTACTGCAAAGAAACTGAGCCACTAACTGTTTACTGCAAACTTGATCTCTAACGAGGTCAAAATTTAATTCGATGTGTTTTTTATTTTGGCACAAAACACAATATTAAATCTGGGATAAATTGCTCCAATGTTGCCACACTATAGGATTGGAGCTTGTTGTTGAGGAAAACCAAGTTCAAATAAAACCACCTTGATCCATGTAGGTTTTGATGTTTAGAGCCTTATATCATGCATCAGTACTACTGTGAGCTAAGTAGGCTGTTATTTACAGTTCCAAAAGACCAAGTGTTTCTATATACATGGAAAGTAATTTAAAGAACTCAGGTCTTTGACAGTAAATATGTCCTTCAAACAGTTAATTACATTATTGATGGCAGCTGAACTTGAACCCGTTACGAAGATATCATCAATTAACATAAATAAAAATATAAACAACAATTATAGTTGTATCGAAAACAAAGAGAGAAGTATCATCTCTGTTCATGGAAATGTAAGGACTTGAGCTTGTCTGAAAGTTTAGAAAACCAAGTTCCTGGAGCTTGCCATAAACCATAGAGGGATTTATACAACTTGCAGACGTGATTGAGATATGGAGGATGAACATAACCCTATGGTTAAGACACGAACACTTCTTCTTGTAAATCACTACGCAAAAAGGCAATTTGTACATCAAATTGCTTGATAATCCAATTGGAAAAAACTGCAACGGAGGGTATCAAATAAATAGTTGCATGTTTAATAACTCGACTAAAGGGCTCAGAAAAGCAAATTCCTTATTGCTGGTGGAATCCTTTGGCGACTAAACAAGATTTGTAATGCTCACGAGTCCCATCTACTTTATTTTTAATTTTATAAACCCAACAACATCCCACAATATTGGTAACAGCTGAAGGTAAAACTAATGACTAAGTGCTATTTTGTCGCAAAGCAGAGAACTCCTTGCCAGTGAGCATACTTGGATGCTTCAGTAAATAGCACTAAATTGTTATCATCAACATAAAATATTATTATCAACATACTTGAGAAGAAAGAAATGAGCATGAAACTCAAAGTAAATATTATTATCAACATAAAATTGTCCATATTCATGGTCTAATGCTACAAGCATGCAAGTGATAATATCAACATATGTTATAGACTGTCCAACAATGGCTAACTCGTCTGTAAGTCTCTTGATGAAAATAAGATAATTTGTGGCAGATTGATTTCCCTTAGTTGCAGTGGCCAATTGTTTGCGTATTTGGAAAATTCTTGCATAAGATCTGGAAGAAAAGGTTTCCCCAAGAGCATGCCACACAGTGTGAGATGTTGTATAATTGACCATTTGTGCAAGCACACCTTTAGCGAGGGAAAACAATTTAGTTTGTTTTTCATGGCTTGGGTTGGTGTTGGTATGAAGAGATTCTGACCCCTAAAATAAGGCACTATCTATGCTTTCCAGGGAAGATAAATAATTATTTGACGGCGACCACATTAGATATGGAAATAATAGAAGAATGATTGGAAAGTTTAGTTTCAGAATTGAGAGAGAAGGAAGAGGACGAGGAAGACAGATAGACGCTGGTCTTTTAAAGCTTTGATACCATGTAAAACAAACTAAAATGTTTCTGTACGCGTATTTGTGCAGCATACATATGAGTTTTATAGTACTAGGATCACAACGGAATTCCTACTTGAATAATTCAAACTCCTATATCTATATAATTTAGGAAACTCAAGATCATATCTCCTCATAGTTATCCTTCCAAGTTTGTTGCTATAATCTGGACGTTCCTGGTAAATGTTTTTTTCTTTTCCAACAAGGTTAGATCTCTTGCAGAGAGGTTGGAGGAAGTAATGGTGTGGTGTATATTATATAGCTTTTTTTTTTTTTTTTGTAATGTATTATTGCTCGTCCTACTAGTATTTATTTATCAATGCTCTTTAATTTCTCTGCCTGTCCAGGAAAACAACTTGAATGCAATGCTGCAGATATAATTATTATTATAAACTCAGGAACCGTCCCTTCTGCATATTCGCTTCGGTTTGAAGGAAATGCAGAGGGTCCCGTCCCAGCCCCAAAATCCAATTGAAAGCTTTGCTTTGATGCAGAACAGCAGGAGCATTTACGAGGAAATCTGAAATTTCCACACTCCATTTTCAAAGTAGGTCCCCTACATAAATACGCTCTTGCATGCCTGTCTCCTGCCAAGAATCTTAGTGGCTTCATGCATTAAATGAGTGATTTCCCTTCAAGATTCGCAAGTCCAAATCCAAAAATCTTAATCAAGATCAGCGTTGTTCTTGTTGAAATCTTTTGAATAGAATCCCGAAACGATGTCATTTTAAGAATTGAGACCATACGAACAACTCAACATCTGCTTGATATTGATCGATCCCACAAATCTCTGATCACTACGAGCAGCTATGCACAATTCCTTTTTAAATAAGAGCCCAAATGGTTTATGCTAAGCTAAATATTAGACACGAAAGAAATGGAGGATGTAGATATAGAACCAGCTCCCTCCAGGCTCCCAGTAGACTACTGAAGATGAGAAATCCTACTGCAAATATTCATGAACCGTAAATTCTGTTCTCCAGCTATGGCAATCAATAACAAACACCTACTGCAATTATTATTGAGTGTTTTAAAATACATTAGCTTCTGCTCTTTTTTTTACGTTTTTTATTTGAAAAAATATTAAATTATTATATTTTTATTTAATATTTTTTAATCATTTTAATATACTAATATTAAAAAATTAAAAAAATCATTTTCACAAAAGAAAAACTTTTTAAAAATTTCTTTTATTAATGTAACAAACATACATTAAGTTAATATGTATTAAAAGCTTGTTTGAGAACAGTTTAAAACCATTTTTTTTTAAGTTTTGAATTTTTTATTTAAAATTTTATATATATATATATATTTAAAGATGTCAAAAATAATTTTTAAAAATAAAAAAATATTATTTTAATATATTTTTAAATAAAAAATATTTTAAAAAATAACCATTATTATGCTATATTATAAAAGTTATTAATATTATGGTGAAGGTATTTTTTATTGGTAAAAATATCAAAATATTTTTTTTAATTTTTTTATTTTAACATATAAAAAATTAAAAAGTAATAAAAAAGATTTTAATTTAATAAATTTTAAAATAAAACACACTTTTAAAATTTACTTAAAATAATATATAATAAGTTTTTTTTTTATAATAAACATGTAATTAGTTAGCTATTGCTAGTCTCCTCCTGCTATGAATGCCCCGTGCATGCACAGAAAACTAAAATCATGGAGCATGATGAGGATCAATTAATACAAATTATGGATAAAAAATTAACAGAAACTTATACAATAATATGTTATTAATTGCTACAACTTGATCAATTTAGTTTGTTCTTCGAAAATTAAAAAAAAAAATCAGAAAATCAAATTAAAAGAAAAAAAAGAATAATAGCAATTGCTTTAGCAAAAACACGAAACGTCGTGGGTGGAACCGATGGATGATTGTCAATGTTGCAGACGCAAAAGAATATTTCTCAACATGACCGACTCACCTGTGACTCACATCTTCTTAATCATCCTTCTCCTTGTGCAACAATATTAGAAGAAAAAAAAATTAGAAACCGTGCCATTAATCCTTGTAATATATCATCTCATGCCTGCCAGCAACCTGCCTCTTAGTAGTAGGGAATTGTTGGGGGAGGAGGAGATGCATACGATACTCCTACAATCGGTGGAAGTGGAACTGTGTTCTCAATTGCTGGCGGCGGCGGCGGCAATAGAGTCGGTGGTGGTGGTGGTGATGCGTATGAATTATGGGGAGGTGGCGGAGGACTTTGTTGATGGGATATTGATGGTGGATAATGCCATTGTTGTTGATGAGGGGGTGGTGGAGGTGATTGCGGGTGGTGGTAGCTTGGCGTAGGTGGCGGCGGCGATTCTGGAGTGATACATCCAGTTGATGGTGGAGGTGGTAGGGGAAGCCATGGTTCTTGTGAAGGCGGCGGCGGCGATGGTGGCGTCTGATACAATGGAGGTGGAGGTGGACTGGAAGCTGCTTTAGGTGGGTAATACTCTACTGGTGATGGAACTGGAGCTGTAGAGTGGGTTGGAGGAGGAGAATGTGTATATCCACTCGTTGGTGGAGGGGGTGGTGGTGGTGGAGGGGGTGGTGGAGACTTAGTGTGGTAAGTTGGTGATGGTGGAGTCTGACACAGTGGAGGTGGAGGTGGAGGTGGAGGTGGAGGTGGAGGTGGAGGTGGACTAGAAGCTGCTTTGGGTGGGTAATACTTTACTGGTGATGGAACTGGAGCTGTGGACGGGGTTGGAGGAGGAGAATGTGTATATCCACTCGTTGGTGGAGGGGGTGGTGGTGGAGAGGTAGTGTGGTAACTTGGTGATGGTGGCGTCTGACACAATGGAGGTGGAGGTGGACTCGAAGCTGCTTTGGGTGGGTAGTACTTTACTGGTGATGGAACTGGAGCTGTGGACTGGGTTGGAGGAGGAGAATGTGCATATCCATTTGTTGGTGGAGGGGGTGGTGGTGGTGGACAGTTAGGGTGGTAACTAGGTGCTGGAACTTCAGCTGACTGCTTTGGTGGCGGTGGTGCTTGGTATTGATGGTAAGGCGGGGGTGGTGGTACATGGTAATGTGTACCGGGTGAGACTTTTTTGATAGGTGGCGGTGCTGCATGATTTGAATGGTAATGGCTGGGTGGAGGAGGAGAAGATGGTGGCGGCGGTATACGGTGATAAGTTGGTGGCTGTTGCTTTACAGGTGGAGGTGGAGATGGTGGTGGAGGCGGTGGTGGTGGAAGATGTGTTCTGGGCGACACTTTTTTACTAGGCGGTGGTGGGGATGCAAAATGTGGAGATGGCGGCGGATGGAAAGACCTTGTAGGAGGTGGTGGAGGGTGTGATCTGGTGGAAGGTGAAGACTTGGAAGTGGGTGGTGGTGGGGATGCAAAGAATGGCTTTCTAATGGGTGCAGGATTTGGTGCTGGCCTTCTAACTGGAGAACCTCTCCGCGGCTGTCGTGGTGGTGTTAATGGAGAGCCACTTCCACCTCCGCCACCACTGCCACCGCATTTGAACTTGCTGCAGTCAACAGGGCGTGCAGCTTCAGAAGAACATTGCTTGGCTGATCTCTGATTTGTCTTTCCAGGAATACAATTCTGGGTACCATTGGAGATGCCTCCGATAGCAGCACAGCTAGGAGCTTCGCCAGTGAAATAGTTGAAAGAAAAGGTGAAGTTTTGCAAGTTAGGCAACTGGCAAACACTGGCAGGTATAACACCTGTGAAACTGTTGTGTGCAATGTCAAGTTGCTCAACACTCTTCATGTTTCCAATACTGGAAGGAAGAGAGCCTTGAAGATGATTGAAGCTCACGTCAAAAACAGTTACTTCCTTGAGCATCCCGATCTGGGGAGGCAAGCATCCAGTGAGATTGTCGCTCATGAGAATGATCTCGTTCAGGGTTTTGCCCATCTTTCCGATGCTGCCTGGAATGCACCCACCAAGGTTGTTGTTCGCAAAGACAAGAACAGAAACAGGAGAGTTCCCAAGATTCTCTGGGATGCCAAACTGGAACCTGTTGTCGTTCAAGAAGATAGCATCAAGAGGCTTGTCAAAGAGCTGGGAGGGCACAGAACCTTCAAACTCGTTGAAGCGCAGATCCAAGTACTTGAGGGAAGGCAATGAGAGAACAACCTTCGGAAATTTGCCCACAAACCGATTATTGCTGAGGTCCAGCTCATGTAGAAGCTTCATTTTGCTGAAACTATTGGGCACCACTCCACAAAATCTGTTGGAGTTGATGTGGAAGAGTGCCAGATCGGTGAGAAGGCCGAGCTCGGTAGGGAGGTAGCCAGCAATGTCAGCATGGTTGAGGTCAATGCCAGCCACCACCCTTACTTTCTTGTTCTGGGGAGATGGAGCACAAAAGATCCCCATGTAAGAGCACACGTCTGAGCCCTTCCAGTTGGCCGTGAAGTTGAATGGGTCTGAATGGATGGCTTGTTTCCATGACTGCAAGGCAATGTAGGCTCTGCGGATCCTAGGGTTCTCAAACTTGAGGTTTGGATTTACGTCTATATCATGATCTTCATCTTCATGGGCTGCAGAGGAGATCTGGAAGAGGAAAGAGGAAGTGGAAACAAGCAAGAAAAGAATCAAGAATAAGCGAGGAGGAGGACGAGGAGGAGGAGATGACATTGATGCTTGCCTGTATGAAGAGAAGCAAGTCACATGAAGGAGAGAGTTGGTGTCATATGAGATACGCTGGACAGTGTGCCCTTTCCCATCTCCCTATACTTAGTTTTATAAAGCCCTTGTTTTAGCCTTTTCATTGCTGTAGTTTCGCTCTTTTTACTTGCCACCCTACCTCTTTTTTTCATTTTTTTTTCCCCTTAATGTTCAATTGTTTATTCATTTTAACAGTACCAAACCCCAATCTAATCCATTTGAGTTCAAATTTTTATTCATTTAACCAGTACTAATTAACATTTAATTTAGAGGTTAGCACCGCTGCTGCTGGGTGCTTTAAAAAATAGTTGTTTCAGCCGAATTTGAAATCATAACATGCTGGCACGTCTATACAAAACAGGAAGAGAAATGAGAAATGTTATTGTGAGTGGAGACCCAAATGTTTCCAGCCTATCTTCATTGCGTGTGCGTTGAAGTAGTGTTAATGGCTTTATCATCATTGATTTTTAAAATATTTTTTTATTTAAAAAATTATTTTTATATTGATCCATCAAAATAATTTTAAAAAGTTAATTTAAAACAAAATAAATAAAAATTTTAAAAAAGGATTAAAGTCTAATAAAAAAATATAAATTTATTGTCATCGTTTATCTACCTAGAGCTGGAGACGACGTGTTGGCACCGTCTCAGTCTAGGTAAAGAAACGACAAGGCAATCAGTTGACCACTACTTTTCTTTTCCAAAAAGGAGAGGAAAAAAGGGATCATCGATTAGTTGCATAGCTGTTCTCCTTGTGCTTTTTGAGGTAAACAAAAAGGACCTAACTAGCTAGTTACCACGAGCACAGACATGTAGTTGGCCCTGTTCCATTTCTTCGACACGGACCATTCTCGGTTTCGAATCAATCAGAATGAGGAACATGAACTGAACTGAGCCCCATACGTCTTAAGAAAGAAATTTCATGAGACAAGTGGTATCACGTTACTCTTAAATAAAATATGAATGCTCTGGCATAATAGCGGACCCATAAATGGGATACAAATCAATGTCTTTCTTTCCTTTATATATATATATATATATGAAAAAGACATTACAGCCTA